AGATGAGAGAGTCTTATCCTGAGTTGTTTGTTTGAGGTAATTTTTTATGACGAAAATCTTTTAAGTGGGGGAGAGTTGTAACACCTCGATTTTCTTTATTAATTATTTAATTATTTAATTTCCATGTTAATTATTATTTGGTTTGGTAATTATTTAATTATTTGATTTTGTGTGATTATGTGAATAATTGATTTAATTGGAATAAGTGTGTATTATATGTTATTGGGTTATTGAGTGTGAGAATAGAAAAATACATATTTTGGTCTTATTTTTCATTAGAGTGGGTAAGTGGAGTTAAGCTCATTTAGAGTTAGTTAGAGTTATACAAAATAAGGAAAATATAAAATTAGAAAGAGAAAGTGAAGAAAACAATAGAAGAAGAGAAAAGGGAGACAATGAAAAGAGAAGAGAATAGAATCCTAGAGTATCTATATCTAAGGTAATGGTGGGTAATTTACTTATTATGGGATTCGTAGTAACATAATTTAGGGATTGTGCTCTTCAATTTCTAAAATTTAACATGTTAGGATTTGAGTGAAATCTATGAAATTGATGGTTGAAATATGTTTTGATGTTTATGATGAAAAATATATGCTAGATATAGGTTGTAATATGTTTAATTGGTGAAAATATGAGTTTGAATGAGTTTTTGGAGTCAAAACTCGGACTGGTGCGCCGCTGACTTCACAGATTTTTCTACAGAAATTGCAGAGCGTGCTTAGCGCGAAACTCACTGACTTAGAGGGCGCTGGGGACCAAAGAGCGCGCTTAATGCGACCTACAATGTAAAATTTTGTATTTTGTTTAAATGATTGGGGATCTTATATGCTTATGATTTATAAGGGATTTCTATGAATTTTAATAATTTAATTGACGTGTTTTGGATTGGTCTTTAATGACTTGTTGATGAAAATATAACACTTGAATTTTGTGTATATGTATATTTTGAATTGAGGATGAATGAGAATATCATGTTTTTGCATTGTTTGTTATGTATTATTGTGGTGTACTGAGTTGATGAATGCCATGAGAATGCATGTATATGAATGATGACATGAATGATGACATGATGGATGTATTTTGTGCAATTTGGTGAAGATAATTCAAATATGTTTAATTATGTGAAATATACTTGTATGATTAAGATATGGTGATGGTCTTAATTGCATATTATTGTTGAGATTGCACGTGCATCATTTGTGTCAAGAGACAATGTTTGGTAACTCCGTGGGAATTATTGACTTATTCTAAACCTTGGAGATGTGTTTGAAGCCTATGGGACGGGCTTATTTTTGGTGGTTATCTATGTTGGAGATGGACCCCGTAGAACCGGTAAGGATAACAATTAGTACCACATAGATATTGCATTAGGTTGCATTTGAGTCACATGTGTCGATGTGAAATATGAATTGGTGTGAAATATGTGATATTAATGTGAATGTTACATTTGAGATATTTTTTATCGATTATCTTTAAATCATGAATTGTTGAGAAATGTTGTATATGTGAATACGTGAGTTGTGTTGGATATGTTGAATGCATGATTATGTGAAGCGTGATGAATTCAATTGATGTATATTTGTTATGCATTACTTATTATTATATACTTCTATAATAATGTGAAAATGATGTTTTATACAACATCTCTCAGGTACCGAAGATAGTGGTGCTTCTCGTGAGGATTAGTCGGAGGATGTAGTTCTTGTTTATCCGCTTATTTAGATAGTGAGTCATGCTCTGGTCTATGTAACATGGGGAACATTTGAACTCATGTTTGTTTTAAGAGATGTTTGTTATACTCTCTTTTATTTATGTTGTATTGAAACCATGTGATGAGTGACCTTTAGTGCTTGATGTTTTATGATATGATTGTTAGTATGGGATTTCAATCATTAGTATTACTATGACAAAGAATTATTTGACTGTGATATGCATATGTCTATGGAACATGATCTTAAATGTGTGTTATGAGCATGACCGGTGTATTTGTGTTAGATTTGATATACATGTGGCACCCTCTTTTGATATGTATGATTAATTTTACTCTGATTATGCCATATATTTACACGGGTTTAGAGGGTGTTACATTTAAATTTGGAGTTGCATCCAAAACTAGATGATCTTCAAGTTTCCTTCTTTCTCTGTCCCTATATTTTTTGTATACCTCAATTTCTTTTATTCTTATTGCATCTTTTTTATATGATGTCATGTATTTTTCTTCTTCTTTCACATATTCTTCTTCCAACTTTAGCGCTCGCCAAATAGACCTATATAGATAAAATTTAGCTTCCTTAAATTCATTCATAAGAATTCTTACCTCCCTCTTATATGCTTTAAAAATTTTAGTCGCTTCTTCCATAGTGATTCCCGAATCAAGCGACCAACATGCAGGAGATACATGTGGCAATGTATCAATACATGATACAAAACTCATACAGTTTATTAGTAGCAAAGTATAGAAGAATTCATGAAACAACAATAATTCGACTCTTTTTTATAATAAAACAAAAATCAAATTAAAATAAAATTATAATTATAATTTTATTTTAGAGCAACAAAATTTCAACTAAAATAAAATTTAAACTCTATAATCTTTGGCAGTCTTCGACAACGGCGCCAAAAATTTGATCAGTAAGTTAGAAAGTATATTGATCTACCAATATAGTTACCGAGAAATCCCATAATATCAATGTTAAGGACTGCGTGACGATATAGGATCTGCGTTTCTTTTTAGTTAAACAAAAGCAATCACGGGTTTTGAATTGGATTTGTAGTGAACAAGATATGTTAATGAAACATATAACATAAAAACTTTGAAGCGTAAAAAACTTTGTAAAATTCACTACTATGGATTACAAGTGCAGAAAATAAATTAGATTTAAGATTTGTGTTCTTCAATAATCTTTTTTTTACGGTGTTTTTCAATAATCATATATTTATTTTATTTAATTAATATTTTTTCTTGTTTTACATCATAAATGAATAAATACAAAAGAGATCTGAAATATATTACACCCAATATTTTTTTTTTCCAAGATTTCAATGAAACGAGGATCCAACCTCGGATCTTCACTAAGAGTGATGACAATGAATTAGATTCAAAATTTGTTATATATTTTTACATAAATATTATGTGTAAACAATCTAATATTATGAATAAACAATTAATTTATTAATATTATGTACTTTGTAACGGGTTTATTTAAAAAAATAATTATTTATCTTATCTTTTGGGTTTATTGGTAAACCAGAAGTACGATGCGTTAATTTTGAAAACAATAAAAGTGTAGAAGTTAAAGTGGAAATTTTTCATGACGACTTTCATTACCTTGTTTTTGTAGCCAAAATTAAATGTATTTCGCATCCAAGGTAAAATTAGATCTAAAGTTTTTTTTTTACAAAATCTAAAGATTATTGAGAGATTGTTTATATTACTAAAGGTATACTTTGGTTTATCAAGTCAATTAAAGTTACGGGTACCCCCTAGTTACATTATGTCATTCATTTTTCTAATAAAAAGTATAGTTTCTTTAGTCTGGATTAAAAAAGTTTATGGGGAGACTATTTAAACTTACTCAGTTCTTATGATTTTTGTTTACACAATTTATGCTACTTGTGTTATTAGTCCAACAATGGCGACCTAAACTACTCAAGTAGTAGTCCAAACTACTAAATTTTAAGATGAGATAATGAATGCTCAAAAAGTACACTAATGTTAATAAAGAATATGGAGATTCGGATAGGTCAAATAGCCCAGTTGCCTTCACAACAATCTAGAGCAAAGTTTCAAGTAACTTAGTGACAAAAAAGGTAGTGAGTAACACAACAAATGTTGTCACCACAGGAGGTCAAAAAGCTATCAAAGAACAGCCTCTTAAAAGTAATAAATGAGAATGAAGCAAACATCGTTCTCATATAAAGAGAGATACAAATTTTTTAAGAAAAAAACTTTGATGCCAACCTATTATACGTAAAAGAGACAAGGTGCTAAAGCCTGAGATAAGACTCACTTATCCTCAGAGATAGAAGAAATCAAAAAATATGAAGAGTTTCACCAAGTTTCTGGAAATGTTTAAGAAACTACAAAAAAAAACATTTTGTTTGCTTAAGCACTGAAAAAGAAGCTCACTTATGCAAAACTCATAAAAGACATCATCCTAAAAAAGAGAACCATATATGATGAAACAGTTATATTGCCTCATTAAAACGTAACATTTAACTCTAACCATGGCATATTAGAATGCATACATGCCTGAACGAGGCAGAGGTTGCTTTCATTCATTAACTAGTTTATAAAAAATTAGGATTAATTGCTTTTTTAACTTTGGATACGAGTTCGAGTGCTATAAACTCTCCATTACCACCTTTAAGAACAACTAATACGAAAAGAGATGTGGATGAAGGCTGCTTGAGTATTTGTTATAATAAATATTCAATAACATGGGTTTCCAAGCAAGATCAATTACTAAATCAAAAGTACCAAAATTACTCAAATAAAAACTACGTATGTTGCACAGCAACTAGATGCTCTGTGATTGCCTCATTAAAACCTATCATTTAACTCTAACCATCACATTAGCATGCATATCTGAACGACGCAGAGGTTGCTTTCATTCTGTACTTTATAAATATTTAGGACTTAATTGCTTTTTTTTTAGTGGATTGTTCTTAAGTGGTGCTTTTGTGCATAATTGTCTATGTCAATGACACATCTCATGCGAGCATTCTAAAAGATTTCTAAATTACACAATATATGAAGATGAATTCAAAACAGGTAACCAGGACAATGTCCTCTTTATTATATTCTCAATGCATTCGATGTGGTCATCATCTACTTCTTCCTCTGTTGGAGGGGTTCCAGATATGTCTGCAATCTTAGAAATATCAAAAATTAAAATCTGCGAACCTAAGCAGCTACTAATTTTTAACCTAACTCAAGGAAATATCAGAATTGCAACACCAACAGTACGACACTACTCAGTAAGAGACGCTATTGGAATTCAATTTTGGGCTCCCACCAATGCCATGTGCCCTACAAGGTCCAACACTCGGTTGCTGCAATGGATACAATTTAAAAAATGAGCAAAAAGTTCAGTTTTGAAAAATGTCCTAAATGCATTTTAAATTGCAGTTGTGGGAAAAATGTGGCTGATGCAGTTGAAATAGTAGTTTTAATGTTGCTGCTGAGACTTCAAAATCCGCAATTATAGTTGTGAAGTGCAATCTAAAACTAAGATGTGCATGAACAAGTCTGAAAAGTTTCAGTCGTAATTACATATACACTACATATACACGTACCTATAACCCCACTCATTGTCATACCATGAGACCAGCTTCACAAAGGACTTACTAAGCCCAATCCCGGCCTTAGCATCAAAGATACTCGACCTGTTAATAAGAAATGCATTTAAATTAAAATGCTTACTTGGCAAACAAAAATAATATAAATCAAATTCATTTGTAAGTGAAACTCAAAATTCCAGATTTTAGCATGTATACTAGATAAAGGGCACTAGAGTCTGTCCTCTTGAAGATCCTGATAGTGATCTAAATTTGAAATACAGCAACGTTTTACTTTACCTTGAATCACCAACAAAGTCATTAGAGACAACATCCTCATCTGTGTATCCAAGAATTCCCTTCAGTTGTCCCTCTGAAGCACGCCTTCATTTTTTTCAGTAGCAAAGTAATAGAAAATAAATGAATTGGTTAGTATAAAACGACTCAACAGAGAGGATATAAGCCGGATCAGAAAAGAAAGAGACATACTTTATTGCTGCTTTAACATCTTCATAGGAAGCATTCTTTTGAAGTCGGCAGGTTAAGTCCACGACAGAAACATTAGGAGTAGGAACACGAAAAGCCATTCCAGTGAGTTTTCCATTTAGCTCAGGAAGAACTTTTCCAACAGCCTAGGATTTCACAAAGTGCAAAAATCTAATTTAATAATTGTATACGACAAGCACATAAACTCTTATGGCCGTTCATCTCTTACCTTTGCAGCACCAGTTGAACTTGGAATTATATTTTGAGCTGCACCTCTTCCCCCTCTCCAATCCTTCATTGAAGGACCATCTACGGTCTTTTGTGTTGCTGAGAAAAGTAGAGGATAGTTAGATATTAACAATGTCACCCGTGAGCATGAAAAGTTATGGTTTATCCAAAAGAGAAAGAAAACAGAAGCTTTAACTGGCAAATGCGCAACAGACCTGTTGTTGCATGCACAGTTGTCATCAAACCCTCAATTATACCAAACTCTTCGTGAACCACCTGGTGAATATTTATGTAAGAATTAGATGTTTGTATGCAAGATTCTTATAAGGAAGGAAATAAGGAACAAATGAAGGGGGAGCATCAAGTTGCCTAATTCTTGAGCTAAAGGCTTATATTGATTCAGAGAGATCAGCATTAATTCCATTAAGTTCACTTCTCTTAATGGTTTGATTTGTTTTATTAGTAGAGATATTACTAAAAAAAACTTGATGAATCAATTGTGTATGAACTTCATGATCCTATTAGTTTTAAATTTAATACTTTACCACACTCCGCAAAAAAAAAAACAATTCTTGGATATATATCTTTGAAGAAAATAATTATAGATCAAGATGAAATGTGGGAAAATAACTTGAAGAACGGAGAAAAATGCTTGGTATCAATGTATAGCAGTGCGGAGCAGCCAATCCCAAAAGCAGGATGATGTGTCGTGGGAGGGATGGCCACTATTTGATCTTTTTTTGGACAGATTGTAATACTATAAGCACAGATTTAATGTAAACTTAAATAAATAACTCAACTCAATATTCATAATTAGCAATAAAAGTCAAAGTCAATAGAGTTGGTATTCCACAATGTGATCAAACCTTGGCAAGAGGAGCAAGACAATTCGTTGTACAGCTTGCATTAGAAACAATGTCCATGCTGGGCTTGTATGTCTTCTCGTTCACTCCTACCACAAACATTGGTGCATCAGCAGATGGAGCCGATATTATAATTTTCTTGGCACCAGCCTATAGTGGAAAAAGACAAAGCTTAAATTAAGATTTGAAGGTGGCAAGAGTAAGGCAAGGGAGGAGATAGAAAAAACACTAAATGTACAGGTAAGTGACTATAGCAACCTTCAAATGTGATGAAGCTTTCTCTAATGTTGTAAAAACTCCTGAAGACTCTATGACATAGTCAGCACCGAAATCACCCCAAGGGATCTCCACGGGTTCTCTGAGAACAGGAAAAAATGTATACATGTTTAACCAATTTTCTTATAGCTCTATAATAACATCACCAGAAATATTGTCAACCAGTAACATATGCGTATAACACCAATTTCAATTATCAGGTCTCAACTAAAGATACCTGTTGCTCACAACTTTAACCTGCTTCCCATTAATTTCCAAAGTAGTGTCATCCAAAACCTTAATAGTTCCCTTGAATGGTCCATGAGTAGAATCATACTTGAACATGTAAGCCTGAAAGATCAAAGATAAAACTATAAAGCAAAATGTATGCACAAATATAACAAGAGTACCACAACAGAAAGAATAAAAATATAGAAAATAACAACCTAGTACACAACCATAACTGAATTAAAAAATAATCTAAAGAAAATTAAGAAACAACAGATGAATTCTTTAAAAAAGTTGGAGTCGAAGTGAACAACAATACATGCCTATTTATTTTCATGTTTTAGAATATAAATCCTCATGGCATGTACTGAGCTGAAATCTCAATGCAAAAAAAATGGTTAACACCCAAGCTTTAACTTCCCTAAAATTAAACAAATTAAAACTAAAAATGGAATCATAGCAGACAGATAATTGAATTTTTCTAAGGGATTAGAGAAGGCTTCAGATGAAAAAATATATAATCTAAAACATCAAGTTTATTAAAAGTGCACACTAGAAAAAGTAAATAAAAGGCATAAAACAGCATAGACTACAGCTGCAGAACATTCAAACTGAATCAGCATCAGCATAATATATACAACACAAAACATGTTTATGCCTATTGTCAACATGTCTAACGACCAGAGCAACATTGTTTGAATATAATTTAAATCTAAAACAGTAACATGAGAACTCTGTTATAGGAGTGTGGAAACTGGAAACAGGGGAAAAAACAAAAAAGTAATTGAGACGTATGTATATATTTATTTACCATCATTACCACGTGAATATATACAAACACACGCAAGTAGATATAGATTTAACAGTCTTTAATCAGTACGGCAACCAAACTTCTAGTATCTCATAAGCACAACCATTAATGTAATTGCATATGCATACCATATATTTAGCATCAATAAAAGGATCATTAATTGCAACAACATCAATATCATCCCGTGAAGTAGCTACACGTAACACCAACCTTCCAATTCTACCAAAACCTGCACATTGCATAAAAGATGTTTTTCTCAACCCAAGCTGAAAGTTTCCAAGGATATATTTTCATGCTTCGTAAGAAAATTTACACCTGTTACATAACTACATTTAAGAATGTTCATGCACTGATTTGCATGTTCCTAAGACCAAACTAAAATATAACATGAAATATTAAGGTGTCTTTCAGTCATAACTTAATTCCCATTTGCACTTTTTTTTAAAATAAATACAATTAAAGATGTGTTAAAAAAAACTAATAAGAACCAAGCAAGTTTTTTTAAGAGGACAAAACTTACATAAAAATGATTGTTTTACTGTTTTTATTTTTAAATGTTAAGAAAAACTTTCAAATAGAGTTGTAACACAGAATCACTGTTACGGTCCCAGGAATATAAACAAAAAACTTAAGCAGGTCACAATTTTAGAAATTGCAGCAGTAACATTACAATAGTATAGCCAATCCAACAAGAATACGTATGAACTCCACATCAAAAAACAACATCAGCTTTCAAGAGAAAATTTATCAATTCAAGATATGCGTTGCAAAAGTAAAGTAACCATTACATCCTAAGACCTAAATGAAAACAGAGCTTGTAATCTTTCAAGGTTTATAAGTGTCTAACAAAATTGAAAGTGTCAAGTATATACAAGAATAAAGAAACCTATAAGAGAACTCTCATAACAAGAAAGTTACCATTTATTCCAACTCTGGTCTTCTCAGTGCTGCTTGATTCTAAACAGACAATACCAATAACAGGTAAGAATAATGAAATTGAATGTAAATCACCCTGATTCAGACAAAATAATTGTATTATACTGACTTTGCACAGGGAGAGGGATTTCCGTTGCTGTAGCGCTGATAGGCTGAATGCCCCGGGCATTGCAGTTCCTGAGCAAACAACAATACATCAGGAACAAAAATACTAAAAAACATATTATCAAAACAACAGAAACAGGCAATGGAGAGAAAAATAAGGACACTCATTAAAATTCTGGCAAACTCAACTGTAAGACTAATGGATCACATGGAAATGAAGTTCCAAATATGCTGCTTTGTAACCTCATAGAATTTGAACTAACACTTGAGGCATTGCGAAGTGCCTGAATCATACATAAAGACACATTAATAAGACTTAACATACATAAAATTCTAACTGTACCAGCACTGAAATGATGCTATATATGAAATCTATGAGTAATCTATTCAATTAAAACCCTTCATATCAGTCTATGTTTCAACAGCAGAAAATTTTCCTCAGCATTTTTCAGAAAAACATCCTGTTCAATCAATATGCTGCACGTATTATCGCAATCCCAACCAATTCTAACCTGAATCGCATACTATATAGCCTAAAACCAAAAAACAATCAATATGTTTGCGACATTTTTGTAGGGACTAGAACTGGAAAAATACACATTTCAGGATTAAAATTTATTTAAACCAAAAGAAAATATTACAATGCTTTCTCCAGTTCTGTTTTCTGAGTAACGAAACATAGATTTACACCTCAAAATAAACATAAATTTCCACCAAATCCAAAAGTAAGTTCAAATTTTGAGAACTAATAATAATAATAATAATAATAAATAAAGAATGAACTGAAGCGTGTAATATCGAAACCGAAGAAAACATTGGAATCTGCGGTGCATTAAGATGACGGGAAGAAGATACCTGAGAGCGATCGGAGGAGTAATGTGAAGAAACGATCGCGGATCTGAGAAGAGAAGAAGCGGCCATTGGAGAAGCAAAACCCTAGAAAACGAAGACTGTGTGTTCTTTGATTATTGCAGCAACAATAACGAAGAAAGAATAAGAATGAATATAATATAATAATGGAAACACTCTTTTCTCGCTTTTATGAATTTTTGTAATTTCTCAGCGGAGCTTTTTATGAAACAAGACAAAATTCTCTCTCTCTCTCTACATTACTGTATTGTGAGAAGGGTGGTGATCCTCTGCGGGTGACCTTACGTTTGTGAAATTACAACCTCTTTTTTACTATTAATGCCATTGTAGTAAAAGAAAAGGAGAAAATGATTAATGGAATGAAAGTGTAACGGTCACTCAATCACGATCATGTATCAGGATATATTATTTTTTTATTTTTTAAAAAATTTAATAACATGTTAGATTATTGATTTATTATTGGATTATAGTATAAAACTATTTTATATTATTAATGTATATTCATTAAACTCAAAGAAAAAACAATTATATATTTTTAATTAAAATCATGTAAACTATCCTTATAATTGTTGAATACATGTCAATAATTAATACATTATTTTGTAAAAGTAGATTATTTTTATAATTTAACTTTATTTCTGAATTGGTATGTAAAAAGTTTAAATAAAATTCATTTTAAAATGAGTTAATTATATTTTTATAAAAATAGTTTAAGAAAAGCAACTCATATATGGTTGAGAGAAAAAAATTTAAAAAAAAATATGACAGTATAAGATATTTTTATATTGTCAATCAATTACAAATGTGTATTTTATTAAGTTATATTTTTAATTTTAAAATATTGATATAACATAACTGAATATTATAATTTTATTGAATGATGGTGTAAATCTATATGATTATTATAAAGAATTATTATATTGATAGTAAATTATAATAGGGTTGAGTCGATTAATTTAAAGGGTTAGCATTCAAAATATTTGAGTTTTCACATATTGTAAATGATAAAGGATTTCTACCATTAGGTTCATTCATTGTGTTCTTAGACATATTATTTAGGTTGGCTATAGTAAAGACAAGAAAAATAGAACAACAAAAATATATGAAAATAGGACTAGATATACTATTTGAGTTAAGATGTGAAGAAAAGAAACGATGAAAAGCAGGTGAAACTTGAAAAAGATATGGAATTAAAGATGCAAAATTCAGATAAAAGGAGAAGTTGGTGAAACCAGATATCATTGAAACTCGGGAAAAAATAAAGGGTTTGTAAGAAGGGGCGAAAATCGTTTGAAAAACTAAAATAATTTTTATATAAAAGAACAAGGAAGATAAATCCATAATCAAGAATAAAAGGAAATAGGAAGATGAAAAACAACAGTCAGATTTCACCTCGGAAATGTAACGGCACTTGAGTGCACTTAAGTGTCCTATGAAAAAACTATATGCCCTAACCTACAAACCTAGGGCCGCGTGTAAGGAAATCATGTGAAACATTTCAATGATGGGACTGACATTTAACGTGTCTTTTCTCTGAATCTCATCAAGTTCCAACATAAGATTTCTAACATAGAGAGTCAGTTCCAGTTTTTTGGATGGGTTCTCGCATGTCAAACAATGACAAGCCATAATGTCAACTATTTTGGATCAATCACATGTCTAATATGAAGTAAATTCAATTACTATTTGTCATATATAAGCCATCATGTGTGCACTCTAAGGTATCATTCTAATCACAATTTATTTTACCCTTTTCATTTACTCACTAACTTAGGCATTGTAGTGTTAATCTTGCAGGTTCACTCTCGCAGAATCACATTAGAGATCTGCATCACCACCACATCAAGGATTTGCATCAACAATTTTGATTCTTGAACGAAACAATATCTAACCAAAAATCTATATTTCAACAACCAATTTTGAATCATGATACTTGCTTTGATACATCCTTACAGGAAAATATATGGTTGTTGCACGATTCATCGCAAATGAGACATACATGATTGTACCCTCAACTCAAAATTCAAGGTCACATATGAAGAGACCATTATCATTTTCTACATTAATCATGTGGATATGGAATAGAGAAATGGTCACCATATCGTCACAAGTTCACATGCCTATCTCTTAATAGATTATTGTCTCTTAATAGATTATTGGTAGTTACGTGGAAAAAATTTACAAAAGAAAATGGAAGAAAAAGTAGGCATGAGTACATCTAGATCCAATTTTTCTCAATCTTAACTGGAACTATTTGGTCTACATGCATTGTTGGGCTTAACTATGCAAATCAAGATTCTCATTTCAGAGTCAACTTTTCAAGATGATGGGATATTATTGACGCCCAACATATGGACTTTTTTTTCCATGCACGACTTTGTGCATAAGTTTTAAATGTAGGTATAGGATCCCACATCTATAGAGTATTCCATATTTGAAATGGCTTGCAAACATAACTTTTTGGTCGGGGAAGCTAATTATTTGGTGGACCTGCAAACATAACTTTTTGGTTTGGTGAACTTTACATAATTATATGGTGTTTGTGATAATGATGGTGCCCACGATGATGATGGCAACAGAAGCAAATAAACTATGACATGAAAATGTATGAAGAATGAAAGACGATGATTGAAATGAGGGCAAAAATCTCACCTTTGACTGTGAAACTTTAAAAATTTGCATTAATTTATTTCTTTTATTCTTATTTATATATCTACATGTTTACGCTCATATCTAACTTTTAAATATCTTATGTTTTGCTAGATAAATGGTACACAATCGTGTTTTGAATTGTGTATATGATTAAGTGTAATCTTTACTATTAGATGAGATACAATTGACATGTTTCTCATCTTTACCCGTGACCTTGAAAGACTTTGTTTTTCTTAAACCCCTTAAGAGAATACAATTAACCCTTATATTGTTTGAGCTCTTGCCCGTCATCATGTAGTTGAGTGCTCTTTTATTTAATTTGAAGTTGTTTGATATAAATAGGTCCTCTGAGTAATCGACTAATTATTTAATTCGAGTGTCAACCATGCATTCTTCTCTAGGATATTTCTCATGCATAAGATTAAAATGCAAGATCATTGCATCGACAAACATGTATAATAATTTGGTAGTTTGGAACAACCATGATTAACAGCATCTTAAGCTCTATGATCATAGCTTCATACTGAACTTGATTATTGAAAAAAGTTATATCTATATGACATTTAAACTTCCAACTAATTCTTTATAGGCTAATAATGATTACGCAAACTTCCGTTTTTTAATTCAATATTTATAAAATACCGCCCAAATTTGATGGTTACAAAAAGGCTTGGCTCGACTAACCATAAATTTAATTGAGTGTCATTTTTTATAACTCATTATTTAATTATAAGTGCAAACATCTATATTATTGTTTTAAAATATTTTGACACGTATATGATTTCATATCAAACTCCTTCTTAACATATTTCAAAGGCTCAATATTAGGATTGATAATGAATCAGATCAATTTGAATATAATTTGGAACTCGATCAGATAATTAAATCGACGAACTAAGTTCATGAACTAAATAAGATAAATATGAGTCAAAAAACTAAATTTGTTAATTAAATAAACTGAACTTAAACTATACATAGTTTGAATCCTTAGGTTCATAAATCAACTCGTTTATATAGGAGAAGAATTATATTATCTTTAAAAATAGATTTAAAGATTTATTCCAAAACTTAGCCTTAAATTTCGTTTTAATCAAACGGTTTTGAGACAAAGTTAAATTCTAATCTTATAATTTTTATTTTATTTCAATATTTTCTTTTTTAAAATATATTAATTTAAAATGTAAAATATATTAAAAATGTATATTTTAAAAATGTTTTAATTTCGTGAAATAAATGTGTTAAACTTAACGAGACGAATCTAACGAGTTGAATCGAATTGCTTATGCTTATAACAACGAATCAATTTTAAACTTAAAAAAGTTATGTCAAAATTATATTGAAATTTGAATTAAATTATTTTTTAACGAATCAAACCGAACTGAAACAATGCATTTAAGTTTCTAAAGTTTTATTTTGATTAATTCTCTTTTTTGATTGAGTGTTATCAACTCTCTAATTTTTCTCTCTTTATGTAGTAGTAGTTGAATTTGACTATATTATTATTGATTAAGTGGAACGAAATGAATAAAATATTACTCTTAATTCTTACACATAATAAATCATTGTTGGCCACATGTAACAATTATTCAGCATATTAATTTCCCGAACAAATATCAATTTGGACAGGTGAAGTTTAGAGCACCGAGGGTATAGCATAAACATGGTAGTAGGGAAACATTTTCTCTCCCACGTGCGAATTTAAACAGAGTGGACTAACACGGCTTTTCCTTGAACGCCACGTTCGATTTATATTATTTTCTACTCTATTTTTTTGTTATTGTGTTAATTATTTTTATAAATAAGATATTCAATAAAGACAAGTATTAGAGGTATTCGAACTCGTTTATAAAAACCGTGAGATAATCTTGAGATAAAAAGAAATATTTTTGATCAATTAGAACTTAAATAAAATAAAGTGATGTAGCTTTACAAAACTCATAAAAGTTACATTTTGATATAGAAATATCGTTGATTTGATGCCATTTCCAAACCTTGATTTTAATTTCCCATACCAAGTCGGATAGGCTAATCTTAGCTCCGTTGAAAGTAACGTCATTCATGAGAATCCAAATTACCGTACACGACCGCCAACCAAATTATACTTTCTTTATCTTTATTTACACTAAACTTTCTACCCTCGTTAAACCAAACTTTCAAGCTATTCCATATAATATCTCCTAACATCAGATTGAACCCAAACCAGATGAAAATTTCTTGCCAAACCAATTTAGAAAAAGGATAATCCAAGAAAATATGTTTCAACGATTCTAAGACTTCGAAACAAAAAAATGCAGCAACTATCAGTATAAGAGAGAACGATACCTTTGTTATACAAAAGGTCCCTAGTCGGAAGCATATTCCACAAACACCTCCAACCGAAGGCTTTGATTATATACGAC